GATTCATAGGTTATCATAGCAAAAGTAGTCTCTGCATGACAAGTACATATCTCTCTCTAATTTGTCATTTGTTCCTATTTTCTAGCTATTATTTCCCACTCTCAGATTAATTATGCTTGGAGGTAAGTGTGAAAATATCTCTCCAACACTGGAAAAAAAGAATTAGCATTCATAACATGCAGTAAGCAGCCATATCAGTTTGATAGTGTGAGTTGTAATTATTTGTTTCCGCACTGACAGCAGATTGTGTGAGCTAATGAAGCTTTTTATTTCTTTTTCTTAATTAGAATTTTTAAAATATTATCTCTGTTTCAAATCTTCAGTTATCTTTTTGGTCCTCTTCTTGATAAATTACAGGTGCCTCAACAATCTAAACTCAATAAGCTTGCCCTTATTTCTTGATGTTGCAGCACAGTCTTGATGTTGTAGCATTGCCAACCCTTGCTGTCCTGTGCGTAAATGAAATAGTTGCAGTTGGTCACTGTGTTAACAGTCTTTTTTCATCCTGAATGGTTTCTGTGTTGACATCAAGGGAAAATATTTAAATCAGACACCTTGTTCTCTCGCAGGGGGGATGAGGGGCACTGGTTGTGATAGTAACATCTTCCCAACTCTTTGTCAACCCTCTTCCAAGTTCAGCTTCCCATTTGAATTTTGAGGTTTGAACTCTTAATTAAATCATAAAAACAGAAATGAATGCTGAGAGCACCTGCAGCCCGAAAACACAGTAAAACACAGCACAGGCTTTGGGAGTCCAGGTTTTTAGCAGTGACTCAGCTAGAGGCCAAATGCTGCTGAGCCATCTGGTCTTCCTTCAGCTTTACATACCAATTTGTAGACAGTCTCATATTTTTGAGCTCATGCAGGTCAAGCCTCGGGTACACACTGGGTGGATTCTGACCTTTCCATCCCCACTTTCTCTTTAACTTGTCCAGAAGGTAACTGAGCATGGCAACATATCAAATTCAAACCAAAAGCTTTAGGTCAGGGATGCAATGCTGGAATTATCACCAACCAGTTCAGTTGGCTTTTTGATCTGGAGGCCCTTGCAGAGATGGGTGAAACTGACTCTGAAACAAACCAGCTGGCACAGAGCTTCTTTCACCTCCTTCCTCAGCTCTACTTTGGTCTCCTGACTATTTCTTGTCCTGTCTTCTTAGTTGCTCACTGAGGCAGTCCATTTAATAGACTGAAAGGCCTGCACAACCTCCCACCTGGAAAATAAAAAACTTTTAGAGTCTATATATTTTTGATTCTGGGGAGAAGGCCAGAATCTTTAAGGGTATTTGCTTCTTGTTAGCCTGTTTATCGGGGTGTGGACTATATTTTTTGAAATTCTGTAGGATCATATCAGATTTTATATGCTGGGTAATTTCACATAATGGCACAAAACAATCTCAGGAAGGGCTTATCTACCCTCTTCTTCTTATATATACGCAAGACTTCACAGAAACTCCTATAGCGTTCTAGTTTTTATTATGTTAAAGCCAGTATAGCTACTGCTCTTGGCACACTGGATGATAAACATACAGAAAGCGAGGATCCTTTCTCTAAATAGCAAATCATCATCTCTGGCAGCTTTCACCCCTCATGATAGCAAAGTCCTTTGTCTAGATTTAATACTATCCACACATCACTGGCTGCAACTCCATTGTTGTAAATGGCTAGATTAGTTTCACCTTGATGCTTTCCTCCTGCTTCAGACCAAAGGACAAAAGAAGCTGTTTGGATAATTGTAGGACCATCTTCAGGTTTTCTAAGCTTTTAAAGAATGCAAAACAAGGGAGGCTGGTGGACTGACTCTGCATGTAAGCCAGGATGGATAGGCTGTCACAAAATGCTTTGGTCCAGGAGAGGTGGTTACATGGAAATGTCCTTGATGTTCTTGATAAATTGAATTTCCAGCAGAATTTCGACTTCTCTAACCCATAACAGAAACACATCCTGTTAATGAGCTTTTTGTTAATGAGCTCCTAGAAAAGCAAGGATTTTTTTTTTTTTTTAATTTCCCAAAGTGCATGTAATTCTTTTAGGAGGTAGATTATTTATAGGAACTATGGTTAGGAAATGTCTTGCCTGGATTGCCAGCAAAACATGACAGTGTGGGGAAAAAAAAAAAAGTTTCACTGGTTTCACATCAGTGAAAAGGAAGTTTCACTGGTATCCTACCAGTACTGGACCTTGAGTATATTGAGTGGTACTCAAGGTCTCTAACATCATCCTCCAAACCCTCTTCATTTTTTCATTTTTGAACATATGGACAACACTGATGAGAGGCTACAGGCCTTTATTCTGCTGCTCAAGCACTGATGAAATCTGTGGTCTCATCCAGTGCCTTGCCCAGAGTCACCTTGACAAAAGCAACTGCGAGGATGAACTCTCTATTGTCGTGGATCTGTAAAGCTTTAAGGGAGGTTTATAGTTGTTTCAGCTGGTTTCACTGGGAAATTTCATGACACCTGTTTGACAGATCTCAGGCTTCTGCATATTTGTGGTTGTAGGCACTCTCCTTCCAAGAAAGAACAGGACCTTTCGTGGAATGCCATGCTCATACACTTGAGGGTCTTGAGACCTTACCCAACCCATGCAATTATGATGCCCATGGACAGATAACTCTGCCCTGTCCATGTTTTGTTGGAAGGGGAACACACACTTGTCTCACTGCCATGGGTCAGATTCACTACCTGACTGGATGCCAATATATCAGCATCCTCAGAATGACTGGAGCCTGGTGCTTCCTGTGAAATTCTAGAAGAGACTTCAAAATTCTCATCTTTTTTTTCTGTGCTCACCCCTGACCTGAGGGATGTTGTTGTCTTAAGTGTTCCCCAGCTCTCAACATACCATGTCAAGCCAACAGGATTGAAACAGCCACTTTTAAAGGAGAGTGGAGGAAAAGGGATCTCAGGTGGCTTCTGGGGCTGGGAAGAAAATGTTTAAAGAAAGAGAAGTTCTGACCTCTGATACACATTGGTTCCTGAAGGTAATGAACTATGTGCTGCTATTAAATCATCAGTTTCCCTCCTCCCACTCTCTCCCCTGATCCTCACTGCAGACCTATTCAGCAAAGCCCTCCACTCAGCCCAGCTGGGCATGGAAGAGGGTCTGAGAGTGCTGTGGATGGGTGTGGGAATACTGGCTGGGATAGGATGGGGGGAAGACCTTGAGTTCAGGTATATTTCCTCCCTCAGTTCATTTGCAAGGACCTTGGGGGTGGAAACAGTGTTGTCACAGAAAGCGTCCTTTCCTTGTTGTTCTCCTCACAAGTATCTCGGAACTGAAGAGTCAGGAGTGTAGCCTGGCTGCTGTTTCAGCCACGTCATCTCTCCCAAAGGGATCATCCACATCCTCACAGTGAGGACAGGTCTGCCAAGGTGCTCTCAGCCAGCATTTGCCCCTGAGGAATATCTTTAGTTCAGGATAAAGCCCTGCTACCCTCTTGTGTCTAGCAGTAGCTGATAACTGCATCTCTGCTATCCTAATCCCCAGAGCTGCCAGAAACATGTGAGGACCCCTTCCAAGGTCCTTATCAACATTACAAAGCTTTTCTTCCCTTAGTTTTATTGTCATGTATACAAACATATCAATAGGTTCTAGAGGGCAAGTTAGAAATTTCAGCTGTAAAATCCTAGTAATCTCAGAAGGGACTTCTGGAGGTCCTAGTCCAGCCCACCGCTTACAGCAGGGTTAACTTCAAACTCGAGAGGACTAGACAAGGTTTGGATTTGAGGCTTCAGTTTTGTCCCATGCCCATTACAATTATTTACTATCTTTAAATCTTGTAGTAGTATTTGACTCAAAGTAGTTCTCTAAAGTGTTTGCCGAGACCCTCCCCTTCTCATTTTTGGCAGACCTGGCAGGTGTTTAAAATGTTCACTACAACATTGATCATTTTAAATAACGCAGCTAAGCCTTTGCTCATAGCAGTAATTAAGTATTCATTGACATGAGAGCCAATATTCTGTGTTAACGTTTTAGCCTGGCTAGACTGTCAACTGTAAGACTGCTTTTAATGTGAGTTTTAAATTCCACATTTGTCTTTTGTCAGATGGCTCCAAGTTAACTTCCTCAGTCACAGAGCCAATTTTTTTTTTTACATTAGTTAAATCCACTTACCATAATTTTTAATGAATGTAGCCCAGAGAAAGCAAATATCACTCTGTTCTCTCAATCTGCCAGCAAGGAGATCTGAGGGCAGCTGGGGTGCTGAATTTCCTTTGGATTAGATAGAGAAACAGAAGCCAACCTTTTAATTTTTTCTCAGTAATTTGATATGTAAAGAGGTGGGCTCTGAACTGTAAGGTTTATTTGGTGTTTTGAAGAGCCACTAAGGAATGAAATATTAAATAAAATATTGAAGTTGCTTTCTTCTCCCTGTTCCTATCCAAAACTGTTCTTCACTACTTTGTCTGAATCATCCTGTTCTGTCTACCTGTAGGAAACACACAAAATAACACTGCCTTGCACCTTTCAGACTTCTGTCTGCTGCAGTCTGGCATACACTGGAACTCTCACTGATATTGTTAAAGAAATTACAATAACTACAGCAACTGTATTAGACTTATGCTGATAGATATTAACACTCTTTGGGCATCCATATTTATGTGATACAGTCTTTCCTGATAAAAGTCATATGATAAGACCAGTATCCTATCTTTATGCTGCCATAGGAACAATCCAAATCTAAAGCATCTCCCTATACAAGGAAAGATTGTTCCCCAAAATGAGCATAGTAAAGTCATACTCTTGTCAAATCCATACCCACTTTCAGTTTCATTATCTAGAATAACTCAAAATAAGATGAATTTATACTAACAATCTTTTCACTTGTGATAGGATGCTAGCGTGCAGCCTTTGCTAAATTTGGAGAAGGCCACAGCTTAATTTCCGTTTCTTGCAAGGCATTGGCTTTCTTCTTTTAAACTTCCAATAACACTCTTTATGTTTTCTATACTGAAAAACTTAAAAACAACCTAAGAATATTTATCATCTTCCCAGTTTGAAATCTACTTTCAAATTGATAGAAAAATAGTGAAAACAATATAGCAGCTTAAATAATATTATGCTGATCTTTTGATCATACTAAGCATGTCTGTGATCACAGAAATGAGATTACAAACTGGCCAAAGCTCTTCTTCCTCACAAGTTGGTAAGGACATTTCCCTTTAGCTAAAGTCTTATGTCAGAGACCTTTTATTTAGCAGAGATGTAGTTTTATCAGAGATGTATGAATGCATGCTGAATTCTGCCTTGTGAAGTCTGGAGAGAATCTGCTCCTAACCTAGTCATGGGGCTGTTTTCCACCACGCACATGCTTGTTCTACCAAAATTTGCCACATCCGCACATCACAGCCCTGAGAGTATCCCAGTTCAGCTGCACTATTCTCTTCCTCCTCAACATTTTCCTCAGGACCTCTCTGATTTCCTTGTTCCTCAGGCTATAAATGAGGGGATACAGTAAAGGGGTTATGTTGGTGTAGATCAGAGATACCATCTTGTCTCAAGCTGGTGAGTAACTGGACTTAGGACGAATGTACATGAAGGTGGCACATCTGTAGTGCAGCAAGGTGATGGCCAAGTGTGAAGAGCAGGTGGAAAAGGCCTTGCTTCTTCCCATGGAGGAACGGACATGCAGCAAAGCAGTAGCAATAAAAGCATAAGAAGTCAGGATTAGCAGGAAGAGGAGGAGCAGGAGGAGCACACAGGCAGCCAGCAAGGGCAGCTCTACGATGTGACTCTGAGAACAAGCCAGGTGCAGCACAGCAGGGACATCACAGAAGAAGTGATTGATATGATGTGACTGACAGAAAGGTAAGTGGAAAACAGCCACTGTCAACTCCAGTGCAACAGCAAAGCCACACAGGCAGGATGCCACAGCCAGCTTGAGGCAGAGCCCCTCACTCATCACTGCCACATAGTGAAGAGGCTGACAGATGGCAACATAGCAGTCGTAGGACATGGCTGCCAGAAGGAAGCATTCAGTTCCACCAAGTGCCACAAAGAGGTGCATTTGGGCAGTGCAGCCTATGAAAGAAATGGTGCTGTCATCCACTGTCAGGCTGAGGAGTGCCTTTGAGACAATGACTAAGGTATAGCAGAGCTCAGTGGCAGAGAGCTGACAGAGGAAGAAAAGCATGGGAGGACGGGAAGGCTCCATAACCACTGCCATGAAGATCACCACATTCCCTGCCAATGTGGCCAGATGGATAGTAAGAAAGAAAAGGAAGAGGAGGGCCCGGAGATGGAGCGGCTCAGAGAAGCCAAGCAGGAAGAATCCCATGGTTGCATCAGTGCTTCCATTATCCCTCTCCGCACAGCCTTCACATGGCATCTACAGGGACAGAAGCAGAAGGAAGATAGTTGAATTTGACCTGATGCTTGGCAGCCATTTCCATGTTGGAAATAATGCTGTAATAGTGTAGCAACAGTGTAGTAAAGTTCAGACTGAGACCTTATGGGGAGGAAGGTTATTTTATTTAAAAACAGAACTGATCTCCCTCACTCACATTCACACTCTCAGACCTCTATTCTTACAACTAGCGAGGTACTTGTGTCCGAATGATCTGTCCAGGATTCTTTGCTATGACACTGATGACAAGGAACATCAGCTGTTGGGTTTTTGTCACTTCTGGGTTGTTCTGAGGTTGGTAACCATGTACAGGTTTTGAATATGCCTTAGTTACCTTTTAGGAGCTCACAGTGATTAGTCTCTGCATCCTGTCCTGCCTTCGAGAGTCATCAGGATTTACTCATTGTTTTCTCTCTCCTGATCTGAGTGTCCTAAGATGCTGCCTTTGGATGTGCTGGGATCTTGACCTGCTAATCTAAGTCCCATCAGCACCTGCCATTCTTACACACATCCTGCTTCTGTTCTGTCTGGTGCTTCCACTCCCAAGCAGACCTGTTAGTCACACCAGTATTAACATTTCTATTGCAGTTCTTTACATCTGTGCCAGAGATGTGCAAGGACAAGCAGACAGTGGGCTAGAGCTTTTGCTTTGTATTCTGACCCCATTTAATAGGGATTTCAGATGTTCACCGGCTCCTCCCTTCCCCAGCATGGATCTGCCTCAATGTCCACACTGGGCATGGTTTCAAATGGAAGAGATCAGTGATTAGCCGTGAGGATTCTGAACTCTGACTTGACATTCTTGCTGCTTATGTGCTTATGCCCTGCTCAGCACTGTGTCATCAGAGTTAAAGCAAACATGCTTCCAGACTCAAAACCAAACATGCCCATAGCAGCATCCTCTGTATAACAACATTTTTATAAAAATACAAAGCTAATATCCTGAATTTAGAGAGAATGCGACTGTAGTTATCATGGGAGGGATGCAAAGTTCCTAGGGATTTTTGAGGAGACATCTGAAATGCTTTGAAAAGGAATTAAGTTAGAAATTAACAATCAGAAGAGAAAAGTGAGTAGTGGAAAAATAAAATGGAGCAAATAGAAACTGGGAGGGATAAAGATTCTTAGAGCAGCTATAGCAGATAGATAGTTCCCAGCAGGAACCACTCCCCACCACTATCACCACCATCATTCTCGGGTCCCCAAATATCCCAAATATTTTTCTCTCTCTTTTCCTGGCCTTGACCCTCTCAACTGCCATTCAAATCATGCTTTGGTTTTCCTCTACAAAATTTGATTTTTGCCTACATTGATAAAAAGCCCTAAGCCACGATTTATGTCTATCTGCAAGAACAGGTGCAAGGTTGAGAGATAAATTTCTATCCTGAATCAAAACCTGACCAAATCTGAACACTGGGCTAGCTCTTGAGCAAGAACTCATGGCACCCGGTGAACAATGAAGTGCAGGAATATAGAGTGATGTAAATTGTTTAAGTTGTAGAGATCTAATAAAGATAAGGACATAGAAAGCAAGATAATAAACTACATTTACTGGTCACAGGTGATCAGTGCTCATTACTCATATGTGCATCATGTAATGCAATACTTATTGCAAGGAATAGTTTCAACTCTTTCTACACTTTACTGTAAACCAGGAATGAGAGCAGATTCCTTGAAGATTTCCGCTCACATCAAAAACCCAGTAGTATGATAGGATAAAGCAGGTGGAAAATTGCATGAAATATTCCAATGCTGTTATTTAAATCCTCTAGATTCTCTTATCTCAAGCTTTCTCTCTTCATTTCTTCAAGGGTACCTAGAAGGACTGGGAAGTAGATGAAAAAAAATATTAGTGGTGAGAGGAATAGGAAAGAAAACATCTCAAAATAGCTCCAGAAAGGAATAATCAATAAGGTATTGGAGGTGAATCTGATAAGCCCACACACCTTTAACTTTATTTTTGCCACTGCAGTCTCTGGAACTTTCTGCCCCAAGGTTTTCCTGTGGTTCAGTATCTCAGCAGGATTCCAAACATTTGAGGACTCAGGAGAATAATGAAGACAATCACAATTCTTTTACCAGAGGTGAAAAACTAGGACTTAAATCTCTGTCCTGCATTGCATAAACCAGCAAACGACAGTGTTAGGAAGAAACTTTACCATAAGCTCAAAGACAAAATAATGGACAGTCAGTGAGACCAAGAGGGAGCTAGTCAGAGAATAGCAGTGGTCCCACAAAAGCAGGGGGCTCAACAAGAACAAGGCCTAACACAGTTTCCAGTGGTTGTAAAGTCAAAGCCAAATCCTATATCCGCCTGTTTCTGCTCCAGAACGCTGACTGACAGCTATTCTAACTAGTCTGGTTATAAAGCTTTCTTGATGCTGTATGCAACTAATAGGTCCTGACAGAAAGCAGAAGTAATGAATATGTACATGATCTCAAGACTTCCAGGTGGGGTTCCCCCCCTCCAAGTAATGAGATTTTAATAGGATTTAACTGAAGAGGACAAGACAAAGGAGCTGAAAGAAACAGCAGTTTCTCTTCCTTTCATTTGGAGCTGATCCATGACAACTTACCTTCTCTTGGTTAGAAGACAAGGAAATACAGACTTCTTCCTCCTAATGATGTGCCCAGTTCTGTTCAGTCTTGGCTGAGATTCTGTTTCTCTTTCAGTCTGGGGTCCCTCTGGTTGTGAGTATTCCCTAGAGCCAAAGTTTCTGTCAGAATTTCATAAACATTCTCTCTTCTTCTCCTCAGGATCCATCTCCTTATATACAATATAAAATAGAGCTCTTTCCTCCTTCCCTGCTGTCTCTGCGCTCCCTACATGGATGACAGGCAGTTCCATCCCTCCCGAGGAAAGGGGATTTTCAGATTTTCCATGAATCAAGCAACAGGGTGTAAATGCACCTCCAGAGGAACCCTCCCTAAAAGGTTCTTGGTCCTTCCACTGGAGCAGCTGGAAAAAGCTGATCATTTATAGGGCTAGTCTGTACCCCAAACAGCAATGATTTGCCTAGCAGAGTGCACTGCTGCTCTTAAATCAAGATGGCTCTGTGGATCTTTAGGTAAGTGGAAACCAAACTCATATTTTGTGAATAACTCTGTAGGCGAAGGAAAACTGATATAAAAAGCTTTGAATGAATCTGTGCAACTAGTGCAGAGTTTTCACCAATTTAGACAAACCATTACATTTTATTAACTCAGATGAAATCACCGTTCACCAATGGATTAGACTGAGATTATTTGGGCTCAGTTTACATCTATGGCCATTTTTACATTCATTCCTGACCACTTACACTGAAATCATTAAAGATGGCTGTAGGTTTATGTAAGTAAAAAACAAGAGGCAGAGTAATATTTTTAACTGCTAAAATGAAACTATTTTCTGTTAACCCAGCTTGGCAGAAGTATGTAAATATGATACCCTGAAGTATTTCCAAGGACGTGGTTGAGAACTCTGCCTTTTAAAGTATTTTTCGATCCTGTTTTATCTAGATGGCATAGTCAGTTTGGGACAAAACTATCTTATGCATCAGCATAAGATGATGTCTAGGGACAGACTGCACTGGAAGCAGCTCTGCAGAACAGAGCCTGGGGTCCTGGGGGAGAGGAAGATGAACATGAGCCAGGAAGGGGCCTTTGCAGCAGGGATGGCTACTTGCATACTGAGCTGCATTAGCCAGCAAGTGAAGGCAGTGACTAGCCCCTTACTTGGCCCACATGAGGCCACATCTATAATACTGTGTCCACTGTTGGAGTCCCCCATACAAGAGAGATGACAACAAATGGGAATGAGTCCAGGGGAGGGCAACAGAGATGAGGAGGAGGATGGTGCACATGATGTCTAAGGAGAGGTGGAAGGAGTTGGATTTGTTCATCAGAGAGAAGAGGATGCAAAAAGGGGATCTAACTGATGACTTCAGCTCCCTGTTGGCGGGTTACAGAGACAAGGAGGCAGAGTCATCTCAGAGGGGCACAGTGAAACACTCAGAAAACTTATATCAAGGGAAATTCTGACTGGAAAGGAAGAATACTTCTCTTTATGAGGATGGTTCAGCACTGGAACAAGTGTCCTGAGAGGCTGGCAGATCTTTGCCCTTGGAGATGTTCAGAACTTGCCTGGACAAGGCCCTTAGCAATCTGGTCTAGCTCTGGAGTTAGCTGTGACATGAGCAGGGGGTTGGGCTAGAGACCTCCGGAGGTCCCTTCCCATCTAAATTTTTCTGTGAATCTGTGATTCTGCTCAACCTTCATCAGATTTCCAGTATGGACAGAAGAACTGAGGAACTTTATTGTCACAAACTGTAATAACTATGGAGTTTAGGTTCCTCAAGGCCCTAACTGGGAAGCCGTAGCATTGTAATTTTGATATTAGGCAGAACTTAAATGCCAAAGTCATATTTAAGTCTTTACTCTCTTTTTTACACCCGTCATGTAACTTCTTGGCATTAGTAAAGCTATGTCAGTGGGGTCTATCATCTTGAGCCTCAATTCCCTTACTCAACTTTCAACTTATATAAAAAATTTTTTTTATTTCAACTTTCCCCCTACACTTGTACTATTTCAGATGCTGCAAACTATTCAGGGCAGGGAATGTCCTAGCAGCATTTACAAAATCAAATTCTGAATCTGCCTGAAATCTCTAGGTATAATAACAAATAAAACAAGTATAGCAAATAAAACAACAATTCTGAAGCCTCTGTCTGTGGCATGTTGTCTCTGCAGCTGTAACAAGAACAAGAACCAGGAGCTGCTTATTTGATAATTTGATATTTCACCTCAGAAATCTGGCAGAATGTAGATGAAAGTAAGTCTTCACAGTGAAAAGTCTGTTTTAATCAAATGTTATACAGGGTAAGAGTGCTCCTTCTAGCAAATTCTGTGAGAATTTTAGAACATCTGCTAATTAATCTCATATATAGGTTCCCTTTGTGTTCTAAAATAAAATTTAGGGGTTTAGGTGCCATTTCTTCTTCTATTTCTTTTCTCTAACCCAAATTATAGGAGAAAAACTGCTACCCTGGTAAAAATATAA